ACCTAATTCATCAAGTGCATAGGTAATGGCTCTAAGCTTTTGAGAAAGACTAGCTGCGCCATCGCTTTCCGTTCTCTCCGCGACACTCTACACAAGTTGCAGTTCCTCTTTAGCACCCGCATCCCGAGCGCCCATGCATTTCCATTTGCTGCGTCTGACACTTGCATTAGCAGCCTTTTCTACAGTGGCCTCCATCTGTTTTCTCTCTTTCCGCAACGAGAAAAGCAAGGCCGGCTTATCGTACAGAATCATTGTCTCTGACGGCAAAGGCACGTGCTTTTCGAGCTCTTTCCGATCCCTGATTGTACACACTATCGAATCCAACTTGCTTTCTAAATTTCGAATCTTTATTGCACAATCTTCCTGGTTTGATACCCCTGTCCAGCAAAAATACAATCAAGGATAGAATATGCATGTATCTTGGTAAAAAGAAAATCCTATATACAAGCTCAGCAAAAGTCTAAAGAAGATCAAGTCTACTTGATCCATACTGTCCGGATGTCAAATATTATGTCAAGCGTAATGTACGGCTGCAACCACCCACGTAGCAATCAAAGTGTCCACATGTTTACATACCTTTGAGGTTCACAGGCGATGCTATCATCCCAAAGACACACGGTCGCTTATCTTTAGGTGTAATAAGATAGAATTCAGACATCACCAAAGAATAGGGATGTTTCTTCACGGCATGGTGGCACTCATCGAGAATAAGTAGATGAATGGCTTCCATTTTTACAATGCTATGCCTAAGGATGTTCAAAAGAATCTGTGCGGTCATTACAAAAACCTGCAGCGAAGCAAAGGTTGCATAAGGTCCATGAATTAGCAGAAATTAATAACACATTTAAACCAAAGGTAACAAATTCGTTATCGAACACAACTGTGCATACAAGTGCAAACGAGAACACAATAGTTTCAAAACCGTGAACTTATTTTTTAAAGTATTAAAAAGCAGGATAGGGCTAGAATATGTACATCTTTGGTATCAAATTCTCGCTGCCACCCTCGGGCGTCCCAAAATCTTGACCCATCTCTCCGCAGTAGTGACCAACACTAAACTTTGTGCCGTTGCGAATCACATCTGCTTGCTGCGAGATTTACAAATATAGTAATATAAATAATTAAATAAATCAATAATGGTGGATCGACGGCCGCACACCAACAACATACAGTATGACCAAATTGGCTAGAGAGAGCAACGAAATCAGAGACGATAAAAGATTCGAGCCTTTGAACACAGCAATACAGAAATCCCAAATGTATTATGCTTCACAAAATCCGAGCTAGACAATCAGCAATTTAAACCCCCGTTATTTATGATTAAAATATCCAATATCACAACGAAAGAAAATGAATAAAAAAAAATCCGTAGTAGATTTCACAGCACCTGGTAGACGAGCGGTACTTTAGGGACGAGAACAGAGCGAGCATACGCTTGTCATACTCCCGCAACACCTGGTGCTTATGCTTCATCAACAGAATCGCAATTAGGGTCTTCCCAGCGCCTGTGTCTAGAAATGCAACCGTAATCTTCACCTTCGCTTGAGCCAGCACTTCAAGCTGATAAGTCCGCGCCTTCTCCTCACCCTCATCCTTCCCATTCAGCCCATTCTCCAGTCTCACCTTCGCGCCCTTCTCATTTCAAACACGCGACCGCTCCCACTCTCTCTCCCGATCACGAGACGACGCAACAAATCGCTCCCGAGCCTCCATCCTTGATCGCCGGTCGCAATCCCCTCTGCCAATCCAAGGTCTGTCGCGCGTCACTATGGAACCGTGGTAATCTCGATAATCTCCCAATTCATGGAAATGCCGCCCCCTCTTCTCATCGCGCCTATCATCAAAGGCATATTCGAAAGCCGACCTTCGCTTCCTCCCCTCCCTGCTGTCTCCCGTCATCTCCGCCCTCTCTTTAGGCCTCTCTCTGACCTAGACCTCGACACAGACCGCCTCTCCCTGCTCCTCCTGACGAATCCTCTCACACCACCACCACCTCTACCCTTCATTCCAGCCTCGCCAACTCTCCCGTCGCTCTCCCGGCTCCTCTTCCCTCGATCACGAGCCTCGTCATGTACACCCCTTGCTTGCGCATTTCACCCCTCCGCTCCCCACCTTGCTCCATCAAACCACTCGTAATTCAATCAATTCGCGGCGCTCTAATTGAATCGTTCCTTACTTGACAATCACCTCCGCTCCTCGAGAGGGATAGTGCTAGAAAAAGAGCCACTTCTCCACCTTCTCTCGTCTCCCAGCCATGGCGAAAATCTCCAAACGCACGCAACTCGTCCCCTTCGAAGCCCTTCCGACTGACCGACCGGCGGACGGGGAGTCGGTTGTTGATCGGTCGCCGCGCGATTCAACGCAGCTTATGCAATGGATCCTAAAAGCGTGGAGCCTCACGGCTTCGGGTCCGCACAACCTCACCGTGCAACTCAAGACGCGGGAAAAAAAAACTACCCGCCATGAGTTTATAGTCATATAAGATGAATGTTGGATGAAAACAATCCTGGAATCAAGCTCTCTCGCATCAAGGGCACGTGACAAAAGGGCGGGCTCAAAAAGCAAAAGCTTGCATTACTTTAAAAGTTTAAATGAGCTTTTTAAAAGTTGGGCCTTATCCCTCCGTCATATTTTTGCAAACAAAGCTGATTTGGCCATTTTTGCAAAATTTTATAGACTTTTGTGTGCTCCTTAATTTTAGTTTCACCCAATATGATGTACTGATGTGAAAAAACAAAGAAAGACAGAAAAAAAATTGATTTTGAAATTTAAATTTATTTAAATTTACAAAAGTAAAAATTTTAAAAAAAAATGCTTTAAATATATTCATTAGTGACCCATTTGTCAACGATTTTGTGTTTATTTTATACTGAAAGGTAACAGAATCTGACGAGCACGAGGAGAGAACTAGACTCTTTGAATGAAACAATTTATGTGGAAGAATTGATTCCACAATTAAATGTTAGGTAAGTTTTTTTTTTAATAATTTTATTAACAAAGTAATTCATGTTAGACTTGTCTGCATATACATACCATTAATAAGACTTTAAAAGCAAACATATTAAATATTAAATAATATTTATTAAAAACACGCATATTCCTTGAATTGCCAGGCAAATATTTCTTGATTCTTTCAAGGCAAGAGAAGTTGGGGCAGAAAAGGAAATTATAATTTAAAAAAATTCTGAGAGTTACAGCAATAAATGTATATATATATATATATATATATATTCACACACATGTATAAATAAAGCTTAACAAATTACTGTACTCTGGACAGAAATCTATGACCATCCTCACTTTAAAAGGCACTGCAGAGCATGGGGACCTAATTATGTGTTTTTAATGTCATTTTTCAGAGATGTGAGCCTGAAACTGACATGATAACAATATTGAGGAGCACAGAAATCTTTCGTGGTGCTTCTGTGTCACAGAGAAATTTTTATTATATTCACTTTGTGCTTTTCAATCATGCCAACTATTTTCCCAGTAACAAATAAAATAACTTACACGCCCTCGAATAAAACAAATACTGATGAATTGTGTGTTATTTGGTCTCATTATTGTCACTCCAATTTAATTATTTATTTATTTTGTGATGATGAGCTTTGCAACTTTGATTTTTGGGCACAGATGGATGGGATACACTTATGTTGAAAGAGATTGCTTAAAACATATATTCTTGTTATCCACAATTAGTCCAAATACCAAAGAGACCAATCATATGACATTCATATTTTTAATCAAATACACCACAACAATATCTAATGCATTTCTAAGGAATTGCATGTTGATAACAAAATTAGAATATAAATAGCAATAAGGATGTAAAAAATGAGTTGTTTTATTTTGTATATTTTTACATAGTTTAAATTTTAAACACTTAAAGTTTACATCTTTTTTTCTTTTTTTCTTAATGCCTACATCATAATGTTTTCAATAGGGAGTCTTTGAAGAACTTTATTTTAAAATCTTGCCCTTATTACTTCCAACCCTACCTAATCTTCCTTCATACATATTTTTCCCCATTGACAATTTTAATTCAACCTATGCCAAGTTTTCTGCACCAGTTACTAATCCTTGTATAATATTTTTGCTTGTGAATCACATAATCAGTCTTCAACCAACTAATCAATACATCAATGTCAAATAACATTAGTTTATCATTCAATTATCTGCATACTCAAAGCATTAATAATTACACAAATTCATTCTCAAATTGACAATGTGACAAATATACCTTGTTTATTTATTTTTATCCTTCCTCTTGATATTTAGTTGCCTCTCTCCAAGTCTATGCCTTTGCCGCAACTAGATACTTAGTTTGCATCATGATCTTTTCTGCCATCCACATGTATCCACCAACACAAATGTCAAATAACTACATTCAATCTTGGGAGCAGCTCACTGACAAATTTTGTAGGATGTGCAAACTCAGAGCCTTTCAATTGCCAACATGGAACATGCACAAAGGCATAGACTGTATGTCACAGAGGTATGGAGGAAAATAAAAATAAAAATAAAAATGTTATTAATTCATGTCTGAATAGTTTCAATTCTAATAGAACTTCATGTCAAATCTAACCACCAAATACACCAGTTGACAAGTGCACAACTGATTTGGATCTAGCAGTGAGACAAAGAAACCCAAAAAGAGTAATATTTGGCAATTTAAGGTAACACCAGAACACTAGAATATGACATGATGTAGATCAAAGTTTTATCATAAAGACTTTACTGTTGCAATTGTGCATTAACAGACTCTATCCTCAAGAGAAGATATGTGGTCCACAGATCAGAAGCTTTCATCATGGGTACAAAATCTGGGGACAAAATCATGGGTACAAAACCAAGATTTGAGTATTTTTTAGTAATCAAATCTGTGTTTAGTTGTAAATCTGGAGGAATTGTCATGCATGACTTTTCTCTAATACCCAAATATGTAGAACATCAAAACCAGCAGCTACTTTGAGATAGTATTGACTTGTTGCTCAGATAAGTGTTTTAATAATCTTCCTTTCATGTAGAGCAAAGCTGACATGACTTGCCTGTGAATGTACACAAATACAAAAAGTTGGAAGTCTACCTAGGCCATTCCACAATGGCTCAAACATTACTGAATGGGGCACATAGAAATGATCTACCAGAAACTTAGAAGCTGTCCATACTGTTTAGTTCAGTAGAAATTATCATGGCCAGCCCACCAAGGGGAGGCTTCATCAATGCCCTATATGATTCTTCATTGTAAGGTTCCTGGACAAAACTTAAGTATGGCAGAAAAGAATCTAGGGACCTAATTTTCTGTTCATCCCTCCTCTGTTCTTCTTTCACGTTGTCGTCTTTTCTGTGTTCCTCTTTTTTGAATTCATCCTTCGTCGGTTCGTCCAATGCCACGGGTTCTTCCTCCTTCCGTGAAAGATTCTGCTTCTTGTGTTCGTCCTTCTTCTGCGAGTAAAATATGGAAACAAGGCCATCCCAGGGTGCTCTGGTGAGTTTTGGTCTAACAGATGACGTGACCACAACTTTTGGTTCGTCAACTATCTCTTCTGGTTCTTTCCTAAAACTAGAGGATTCACCATCTCGTGGTTCAGGTGCAGTGTAAGACATGGTAATGATCGAGGAGAATGAGAAAGATCTTGTCCGAACACTGTGAATTAATTCAGGGCCATCTGACAGCTTGCCACGAGTTTGCCCTTGACAATTGTTCTTCGGACTAGCATCATAAACTGTTGGTAGAGATATGTCATTTCGGCCTGCAATCATGATAAACTGTCAGATAATTGCACCAAATAATTATGCATGAACACGCAGTGAGACATCTGCAGCTAGAGTAAATTTTAACAATACCCCCATTGTGAAAATGAAGTAGACATAATAGAAAATCATTAATAAGATTGGGAATAAGGAACTCAAGATGTATATATCAATAATTCGAATGATACATACCTTGTACAGTGGACTGAGGAGACGTAAGATATTTGAAATCGTCGGCACAAGCATTTGATGATCTTCGCGGAGCACTGTCAGAAGACGGAGACAAAGGAACAGCTTTGGAGCTCTGCTGTGATTTTAAAGTTCCTTTGTAATCTTTGGTGTAGGCAAAATGTAATTTCCCTCTCGTGGGATGGTCAACAAAAGTACACATCCCCTGTTAAATATGAAGCGTCAGCCCTCTTAAGTACGACTCATCAAGAAAAGCACTATTGCCACCAATGTAAGCATTAAAATATTTACAACTAAAATATTCACACACGTCTGTAAAATGATTATCTCACCTTCCAAATATGATAAAACATGGATGAAGCATCTACAATGAAAGCCTTCGCCAGCCTCTCTGGATAATGATCTGAGAGTATCTTCAAAGTCGTGAGAATGCCACTAGGTGATGGAGCGCTAGCTTTTGAATATCCTGTTGCACATGTCCAGAACAGTAGGGTTATTTAAAAAAAATCAATAGTATGATACATTAACAGCAACGTAACCTTTCAAGTGTACACGGCTCATCTGACTCTACATCGATCAGACCAATGTGAAGGATTCTACCTCGAGCATCAAAAATAAGCACCCATTGATAAACTCCTGGAGCCATTGCAGCCAGCGCTACTTCCATTGTGAAGATCAGATATCGAAGATATCTATTAAGAAAATGCATGGAATGTCAGTTACTGTGCCACTCGATACTTGCTCGAGAGATCCTAAGAAAGGCTTCAGCTAATAGGGATCCATCTTAGTAGACAAAGTTGCTGTTGGATGAAGCACCATAATGATAAAGATAAACAGTAAAATAATGTGAAATATATATATATATATATATATATATATATAACCTCCACGGATAACTTGAAAAAAAAAGTAACTTAATATTGAATAAATCGAGTTCATATTACATGTCGATTATTATCACTAAAGGGAGGATAAAAAAGGGAAACGAACTCTTGACATTATACCACAATTCTTGACATGCGTAGAGTGGAAGAGCTTACTGTTTTTGAGTATGATTCAAGATGTGATCGGGCTTCCTCTTGATAACCTGCACCCGTCAAGGCAATAAATTAGCTGAAGGTCCACTATTAATGTTTACGTGAACAGAAAGAATTTCTTCAAGATGTTTAGAGTGGCACCGATCATTCTATTCTACGTGCGCTCGATACAGCTTCTGGATAGGGATCACTCGACCATCTTTGTTGAGATCAAAACAACGGGGCATTCAGCGGTTGAAAAAGGTTACCAAGACTGGTCGACCGTCTTCGTCATGACCAGCTACATAAGCAGATCCTGCGGCTATGTCAGCTGGAAATTCGTCCGCTATCATGTAGCCTGCACGCACCACTCTAAAAATTATTCTGTGAAGAGGATGAATAATACCACTACATTAACACGCAAGAATGTATGGCGTCTGCATGCGAGCTGGTACTGCACCTACCAATTTCGATTTTGTCACGCCAGTTAAGGGTAGCTTTGAGCATTCTCGCAGCCCGCCGCACACTGTTTCCACAAGCTTTTAAATACCGGTCTACGCAGGCGTCATCACAAAAGTCCAACTGCAGAGAACAATAAAAAAGTACACGTTGTAATCCACCGGCATCTACAATGCCAAAGCCCCGTTTACAAATATTATGCAACTTACTAGCATGATTAAAACCTCACACACCACCAGATTAGCATTAACAGTTCGTACAAATCAAGCTTCGCCAGATGCTTTAAACTTAACGAGAGCAAGCCCCCTTCTTCGGAACCAGTGATTAGAACAAGAATAAATTTTAATGAGACGAAAGAGGAGCAAAAATTCAAGAGACAAAATCGATAACAGAAACCAAATCTGTGTATTTATATGACGGCATGAAACTAGATAGACAACGGAGGGGCATAAAACACTGCCGCTAGCAGTACCGCACCTCTTTCTTGGTAAGGGGGTTATCTTTTTGGACGAGCTGTAGCACTTCTTTCCGCTTCTCCTTTGTAGTCGATTCTGGCTCCACTTTAGCAGGGGAAGCAGCCACTGCAACTAGTTCCTGCTCCATGTTCCTTACTTCCAAACTATCCCTTCTCTAATAATGCATTTCTTCACCCGCCACAACCGTGCAGAACAGTGAAGAATATGAGCCGGCCGTCGTGCCAGCTATATATTTCTTCTCGTGTGAACAAAGCGACAGGCGAAATAAAAAAGCTTGATCGGAATCAGTGCCGGTGTCAAACTTCTCATACATTTTCCCGCGTCGCTCCAATGTCCCCAAATGAATCCCACTCTAGCCCTCCTACACAACTCCGGTGTCCTCTAGGAACCTCCTCCACTGCCTTTGGCACTGCGCTAAGCCCAGAGTGCCATTCTAGAAACTACAACCCTCTCCACGCGCAAAAGGCATTGCACAGAGAGTGATCAACCACGAGCTCTTCAATCGTGCCACTGCACTCGAAGATACGTTGACCGTCAGTATGCAAGAAAGCCAAGCATCGCAGCACCAGGAAGAGATAAAAGTACCAGGAACCAATAATAATGACCTCCCCCGACCCGCAACTCGTACACACATCAACGATCTGACAACATTCAGCAGCACCATCAACAAAAAGCTGCTATCAACAAGACACTCCATCGCAACGCAAACGCAACCAAAAACACAATATCTTCCGCAACGCCGCCCGTAACGATCACAGCTCGGGAAAGTGGCACAACAGTTGACAAGAAAACAACCCACAGCCAAAACAGAAACCGACACCACCACGAAAAGACGGTCACCAAAACCAGTCAAGCATGCGATCGGCACCTCATCCCGCCTTATAAATGACAAGTTCCGCATTGACATGATTCTAATGGCGTTAATAGCACAGCCCGCATCGACATGATAAGTAACACACACTTGCCATTGATCCATCTGTCCGTCCCTAACGTGATACCATTCTCGCACGCTTCGCGTCAGACGGAGCAACCAGGCCGGTGAAAGCGGATCATAACCTGCTGCTGCTAGCTATGTATGTTGTTGCCCAGCGCGAGGAGGAGCTCCACCAAGCCACGCTTCCAAGCTTCTAAAGCAAGGCAACAACGACCCCCCCACCCCCCCAGCGCACCATAAATTCCATCTCTCTCGACTTCGATGCTCGAGCTTCATGGAGTCAACCGCGGCCCTGGCTCCATGAAGCTTCATTTAGGGTCCCCCAATTCCTTGGAAAAGGCCACCAGAATCACATTCTATAAGTTAGTTCTACTAACTGAGCTCGATGTCACTCACTCACGCCCTTCTCTCGTCCCCCCTCTCTTTTATATTAACGTAGATTAATAATAAATCATATAAACTTATTATTATTCTTCCCCTCCTCCTCCCCTTTTTCCCCCTCCTCATACTTCGGTGCTGCTTCGGGGTTCGTTCCACATGATTGCCGCGACGAGAATAATGGTCTCTCTCACTTCCGTGGCATTATTTTATGTAGCTACGTCCCCGAAAGCTTCTCCGGCATGCTTTCCTGGTCTTTGTGTGTCCAATGGGAGGCACCATGAGAGAGAGACCCCAGCACACACGCACACACCATTTCTTATTCTCATTTCGCAATTCGACAAATTGATTGTGGTTGTCCAACCAGAATATCTTGGTTCTACTGTGTTCCCTTCCTTTTCCCTTCCCTTTAAGAAAGCATTGAACAACCTCGACATGGGGTTCCTACTCCCTCTCTCCCCCTATATCTATTCTCTGCTTATGGTACACCCTTTTTCCATATTCCAGAGTCTTCCATGCATTTGATGCGAAAGCTATGGCACGTCCACACTAATAATTTAACCACACTAACACTAATAATAATAAGGTTTAACATACCAAGAGAACTACCCCCTCCTTGGTCATTGGTTTTCTAACACCTGGTCTTTACCTGTAATAGGTCAAATTTACCTGGGAAAGGGGCTTTCTTTTTAGGCATTTCATGGTACAAGGTTAAGGCGATGAAGTAAAGTTTTAAGTTTTTTAATTTTTTTTTAAAAAATAATCACTTTGAGGTTTCAATGGACCCTATAATTGCTCATTTTGAGTAAATGAACAATAAAAAAATAAAAATAAAAGTATGTTGATTTTGAAGGATATTCTAATGTTGAAAAAAATAAAATAAAAAATATATACTCTAACTTAAAGGAGTTTCATACTTAAAACCTTGTTTTGAGAGATTGTGGTCCAAAAACCTTGTGAAAGTTTCTTGCTTGCTGATTTGATTTCTTTTTTCTTTGCTTTAGATGTGCTATAGAAAAAGAACATCAAATATGTCATGGTTTTGATAATGTCTACTTATGATTGAATCAATATCTTTGGAATGCCAAAAAAAATTGTTTTAAAATGAAATATTATCAAAACACCAAATACACACAAAATCCTAAATTGTCATCGCAACAAAAATTTCACAATGCAAAACTTTTACTTCTACATAGCACTCTCTAACCCTAACAAATGTGCCTTTAGAATTGCCAATCTAACAACAAAAATGATAATATGGGGTGGTACATCAGCTTCACAAAATTGTGTTTCTTTGGATGTAAAATTAAAAGATTGAAGCATATAGTATGAGAGCGAGGACACTCACTTACACTTTGTTTTGTTAGATTGTTTGGTCAATATTAAAATCCAAGAAAGAAATTCCCCAATATATGACCTTTAATTTTAAAAAACTATATATATATATATATATATATATACATGTATTCATATATTTATTAATAACATATCCATTGATTATTTTGTATTCAAAAACTTAAATTTTATTATTTGTAGATTTTTTAACATGCACTTAAGCATATATGTGCTTAATAATTTTTAAAAATATATCCCAAATAATTTAAAGAATATTTTTTTTAATAAACAAACAAAAATAATCTTATTATTTGAAATGTATGGAGAATCAAACTTAATACAATAGATAAAAGGGTGGGGCCTTAAGTAATTTGGAACAAGGTAATTTCTATATTTTCTGATACCATTAAGTGTGATTTAATAGGTCAAATAGCTCATTTATTTATCCTTCTTTAAAGTATATTTAGAAGATAGAATGAAAAATTTATTAATTTCAAACCCTCCTTCCAACTCTTAATTTCTACCTATATCTCCCTCTTTCACTTCATACACTTAGCATGTAATTTTAGACAATGACAAAGAATCAATAAGATTCTAAGATTTGGATACCTTTTTTTCTCAATTCCTTTGCCAAATTCAACTCTTCGTACACTTATTTCTTGTACAGCTTAATCACATACATTCTTGAAGAAATAAATAAAACCAAAGGTTTGTATAAAAGCCTTGGTGTTTATTGGTAAGAAAACCACAATTTGTTTAGAACAATTTAGCTTATAAGTTGAATAATTAATAAACACAAAAGACATAGCAATTTAAAACATATTTTATGTAAAAATAAATAGCATTGAGAGAGAAAGAAATTGAACTTGAGAATCTGAAACTCCAACTGCAACTTGAATGATTAAGTATCACAAGAGCAAGATATTAAATAGTTGATGAGAAGAAAAAATTATAAATATTTCAATTGAGTTTCTATATAACAAATGTAATAATTCATTATAAAGTTTTTTTTAAATTTTTTTACATGAAAATAAAATAAAATAAACATAAAACGTGTTGAATTGAAATTTTAAAAATTAAAAAATTAATATATTGATGTTGTATTATAAAAAATAGTTAATAAGATATTCACACTAATTTTACAAATGTAACTGTGATGGAACTAAATATAAAAAATATTTAATATTTCTTACAGATATATATTTAATTAATTCATGTATAATAAGTATTTTTAAGAGAAAATTTTTTGTGTCTTATTTATATGCAATATGGACGGAAGTACAATCACACTTTTCAGTAAAATACTGCAACTTAGGATATATGTACAATTATATATCACATAGTTACAAAATCATATGTACTATACTTTGTACATGATAAGACAAAATGCACTATGCATTGCAATTGTAATTATTGCTTATTAGAATAAAAGAAACATACTTATAAATCATATATTTAATATATAATATGCATACTGCTAGTATATCCTATATAGCATTATGGTGCTCAAACATCAAACACTCTCTATTCACTTCATCATAAAATTCTATATTTATTATAAATTAATTTATATGAAATCATCTCTGGTTTGATTTCTTACTTTATTAATTTTTTTTTTAATCATTCAAAGATTTATTTTGATAATCATGGAGTAATATATTGTGTGAAATAAATCATCTAATGTACAACATGTACATATCATTTTTGTGTTGTGGTTGTGTGCATAAATCTCAATAATTTTATAATTCTTCCTCAAATGTATTAAAAAAAATCTCAACTCTAACTTTACTGTTGTATGAACAATATGGAAAGAAGTACTTTCTATTCTTAAAAATTGTAGATGTTTACATAATCTAATAATTACAAGAGACAATAAACAAGCACTATTTGGAAACTAAGTTTTTATTTTTGAAGTATTTTGAAAATTTTGATTAAATTTAAATACAAAAAACATCTTAATATCATGTATTGATCTTTAAAAATCGGTATTTTCAGCTTATTTATTAATATTTCTTACATAATTACTTACTATGATAGAAATGATAATACAAAGTTTTATATATATATATATATATATATATAACCTTTGTCAAGATATATTAGTTTATGTGCCAATATAGTGTATGTACCATTTACAATGCCAAAAATCTACAAAACATATATATATATATATATATATATATGTATACATATATACATACATATACACACACACACTTTTAATATGCTTTATGATCCACCAAAATAGGCTATTTTATATAATTAATTAAAAATTGAATTGCAATCATGATTCAATTCAAAAAGATAAAATGTTTTTTGTTTTAATATCAAAGAGTTGAGAAATGCATTGTCAAGAAGTATCATTTCTACATCATCCAAATTGTATCCTGCTACTACAAACTAAAATTTGATCTAACCTTAATTAACATGTAAACAAATTCTTATAACTCTTACATGTCCCTCAAATTTTTCTAATAATCTATGAAAAGAAGTACAAAGAATACACAATTTTTTATAATTTTTTTTCAAACTAAATATCTAATATACTATTTAGGATATTTATTTTTGGATAAAATACCTTATATATATATATATATATACATACTTCAATTTATTTGTCAAAAAATCCTACATTCTTTGTAAAATTGTCGTAATATATTGTCATTGTTGCTTATGGTATTATTACTCCTTTTTAGAGAAGATTTTAAAATATTAATAATATTATTTAAAACATAAAAATCGTGCACTTGAAAAACATCTCACAATAAATTCACGATTAAATGCACCATTGACACGCTTGTGTAGTATTATCAAACAAATTAATTTTATTGTATACATATTTTTTAGATTTTCTAAATACATGTTTTTCAAGTGGATGATTTTTATGTTTTAATTTACTGTGTGGATGTTATACCAGTAGAGCAATATAATTTGATTCAAAATAATAGCATAAAAAATATCATCTTTTCATATTTTTACAAACGATTGGTAATTCAATCAACATTTCTTTGTATCAAAATATATTATGCTTATTTACACTCTTTTAGTCAAGAAATTGCAAAGCTAGATTTTATTTTTTCATTAGCATATATAACATTTTAAAGATGGAATTTGCAAAAGTGGTATTGAATGTCATGTCTGTTGAGGTATGTCTACATGTAATTGTAATTATAATTTTTCTTATACTTGATTAAGATAAATCATGTGCTTGATGTACTATTATTTTTTGCTAAATACAAGTCATATTACGAATCTATCTCTCTTTAAGACAACATATATAACATAAAACAAACCATGTGCAAAATGTAGCAAGGCCAAAAAAATGTGATTGTACTTGAAATAATTACAAAACCATCTACATACGAAATTGGCCTTTCTTAGATGTAGTAGGCAATATAAAGTATTGTCTTTTGACATTTTTATCAACTATAAAATATTAAAATTTAGCAATTGAAGGTTAAGTATAATTTTTCATGTAACTAAAGATATGTAAATCAAATAAAAT